CTAATGCAGTTGCTGCAGGATGATTTCTGATGAATAGCAATAATAACCATGAAGGCGATTAATACGTAGAGAACAAAGGTGATGAGAATAAAGGATGAGATCATATCTTAAGACTCAGCAAAGTCACATCGTTTGTTATATCGTGTTTACGTACTTCAATGACACAAATACAAATAAATACAGCGTAATATATACTAATTAAATAAAATTTCTTACAATGTCTGACCATGAACAGTTTCTTATGGCAAAAACTTCTTAGTTTTTTGTTTCATTTGTAATTTATTTGTAAAATATTTTAATCTTTTTTCTTCTTGATTATAAATGCTTCTTTTTAATTTTCTTACATTATTCAACAATTATATTGCATTTTATTATAAAAAAATAAAATTTTCATACATCTTCAATATTATACTTTTAAATTATGGTTAGTTAGTAATTTTCAAACTTGCCTATAGAATATGATAACAATAGTATTGCAAGATATCATCAATTTACCTACATAAAAAGATATTTTTAGGATGAAATGTAAGGTAACAGTAATTAATATCTTATTAGATTTTACATATCTTTTCATCTTTTATCTCATTCCACGGATTTAAATAGATCTATATTTACGCTTACATATAATAAGTTATGAATTTGTATTGGTGTCCGTGTTTATGGGCAGCATAAGACCAGACTTGATTATCTGTCGTCCGCTTATATTAAATATGAGCAAGATAGTTTCGTGAATATGTAGTTTCGTATACTGCAAATTTCATACAGTCCCTAATTTGCTTAAATATCTTCTATACGTTCTTTACATAATGATTATCCACATATAACGTTAATTATTCGAATCGCTAATTAATCGGATTATATATATATATAAAAATTTTAGTCTTCAAATCTTTCTTTAATTTACATTGTTCATGGAAAAAAAATCTCCTTGCCGGTAGCTAACCTTGATTTGTTAAAATATATTTGCTGCTGTAACTATAAATTTATAAACTACGGCGAAATGGTTTGCTGTTGCTGCTATAAGTATCACAGCTAAGACATATATAGACATTAGATATGATACTTATATTTTAGCTGTCCATATTTTACATCTATCATTTAGTTACACGCAGTTTTTAGTTACTTACGTCAGCTACTTACTTTCTTTTTACCATATTATATACCTTTTAAATATAATACAATATTCCGAAAATACTAATAATTTATATTTATTTTTGTAGTTTTAAAAGATTCCATTTCTTATTATATGTTATAAGATTTTTTGTTACAAAAAATGCTCCTGTTTGTAAAATCCAAATTTCGATTATGCAATTTAAATTATTAACATTTCATCATACATTGTATTCTGCACATTATATTAATCAATTTATCAATCTTATAACTACTCATGCTCCCCATTATATCGCGATGCAAATTTCTAGGCTGCCATGATTCCAAGCGTAATATCGCATCGCATTCTAGCGTAGCGCATTTGCATTTTCAAATTTTCAAGGGGCGCGCGCTGATTCCTATCTTGTTCATCGTCGTTGCTCATTGTCTTGATTGACATTGCAACTCGGATTTCACAAGACCGACCCATCTACTTGCAAATCTCGAAAAGCTTTATTATTCATTCCATATAATTCCTCATCGAGCGTACTTCGACAACGTCGGCTTTCGTCTCGCAATCTTCTTACGGTTGCTTTATTGTTACCGAGCCAACCGGATATAAACGCACATTTTCGGATTTTATGCATACGTTTACACTCTGAAAAAAAATTTTGGTTGAAAATGGACGAATCAGAATTTTCTGATTAAATTTATTAGAATTCTACAATAGATATTGAGATAATTGGAATTCTGATCGATACAATATATATTTCTGGTAAAATCTGCTAGAATTCTTAAGGCCGGTTTATAATAGCCGTAATCGTTAACTTAGGCCGGTACCGTAAAAGTTGGAAGATAGGAAACCCATACTACCGTTTATAATAGGTGGCAATAATCTGCTGTTTTTGGCCGTAACCGAAAAGATAACTCAACTTTATCTTTACCGGCCTACGGGCCTACGGCGAAAAGAACGGGTCTTGAGAGATCGCTCGGGTGAGGTGGGATGTGTTTCGTCTCGTCTCGAGTGTTGCATCATCTTTTATATTTTTGTAAAGCGTTGCCGGTTTCGACTGTGCCATTGCATTCACTTTTTAATTTTGAGCGACTGGCCATGCTTACCTCGTTGGCGAGGACCGGGGCCAATAATACATAGAAGAAGAAGTAAAAAGAACGGAAAAGAAGTAAAGTGTCAAGTGAGTCACGTGCAAAAGAAGAACATAACCTTTTAACATGTTTGAAAAAGTAAAACCATCAACATGCAAATAAACGACGTTGATTTGATATTCTGGGTAGAACAATTTCGGCATTTATACGATAAAAAAGAGAAAGAGTATAAGGACAGAAATGTTGTCGAAAATTCGTTATTTATCAGCAATAAATTGAACGCATCAAGTAAATACATTACAATATATTTGATAAATATTGATTTACTTGATGAAGGAAACAGTATTAAATAATTACAATTGTTATTTAGGTACCGAATGTAGAGATCGTTGGATTGCCTTACGGAATCGATTTTCGAAAGAACGATGCAAACTAGTACGCTTGGGATCAGGAGCATCAGACCAGAAAGAATGGCCATTAATGAAAAATTTGGCATTTTTACACGAATGTGTAAAAAGACGAAGGACATTTAGTAACGTCGAGAAACCACCGTGCAAAGATTATGAAGATACAACATGCTCTATGTTATCAAATGATTCTTACTCCAAAGATGGTTCTCAAGATTCGGTTCAAAAACAAAATGATACTGAAGAATTAATCTTTGAGGACGTTCAGTACCTTGATGAAATACAAAAAGAACATCTGAACGAGCAAACTGGTAGGCAATTTTATTTTGTATTTTTTTTCATATATCTTCAATTCTCTAAATACTAATAGACACTTTCGATTGTGGCGATGATAAATATTTTACGTTGGAGCTTATAAAGTATCGCAAAGAGTGAATTTTTACAGTTGATAAATGATTCTTTAAAATACATTAATTGTTTACTCTCTTTAAATATTAAGATAATCTATCTTAATTATACATATACATAAATATACAATAGTAATACATTACAAATGATACAAATTCAATTTTCAGGTACGCAAGAGGATTTTGACAACGTATCGATGAATGAGACTGAATATAGCACTTCAAGAGAAACCACTCAAACACCAGTAGCAAAACGTTCGCGTTCTAGAAGCATTACTCCGAATCGAAGACTCTTTAAATAAAGTATCTGTCGAAACCAAACTAAATGAAACGATGGATGTTTTTAAAAATTTGTAACCGAAAGAAACATGTATGACTGCGGAAGATAGTTCCTTGAAAGACTTTTGCAG